TTCGAAGACTACAACACAATATTCTTCTTCAACAGAATCCCAATCAGCCAATCAGAAATCGAGCTGGCTTCAGCCCAAGACCAGGAAGGTATACCAGCAGAACTCTGTACAGCAGCGATGAGGAAATGTCACCACCGCACCGGAGCCCTCGCGGCCTTCGAGTCCTTCGACCAGTTCGTCCAGTACTCGGACGAGCTGCTCGACCTGGTCCATGACTTCGCCAGCTCCGCAACTGTTAGGAGAGAGGTGAGTGGTATCCAGGTGGAAGAGTGTGGTAGGAGATAAATGTTCTATGGGATCATTCATGGAATGGCTATAGGTGGCTCGCCGACCAAAAAGTGATTTTGACATTTTCTGAGTAAAATGACCATTGTTAGCTCGGAGTCAGGAAGTTCGGCGGTGTTTCACCTCCATGTCTCGGTGCACAGGTGTCGCCTGACCTCTCCCCGGTCGTGTCGGGCTGCCGTCCATCGGGACAGAGAGTGCACTTGTTTTTGCGCAAACACTTGAGCTTCTAACTCACTAAGTAGGCTAGTTAGACTTGTTGCCATGATCGAAAGTGATCAAGAGACTTATTTATAGGTAACAGGAAATTGAAAATATTATAAGAGAAGAAAAAAAGAATTATATATGTTACTGTAAAAGCTCGAACTGCAGTAAATCCTAAGATATTCCAGTAAAACCTAAGATCTACCAATTCCAAAAGGTAAATGTCCAAAAAAAATTACGATTCGAACTTTTACCACCATTCCGTTGGTAAATCTTAGGATTTGCATCAATGGCACGGTAAATGTTGAAAAACAAAACATGTCATAATGTGCTCAGCGCATCGACTTGTAGCTTGCCGCCCCCACTACCCGCGCACCGTCTCCGCCACTCCGCTCGCCTCAATCGCTCGTTTGACACGTTTGAACTCGCACGATAAACTGATTTATAATTATATTTTTGGTGTTTAAAAGTTATTTATGAATAAAAATGAGTATGAAGCAAAGATTTTATCCATTAAAAAAAAAATAATAAAAATAAATCATAAGACATCAAAGAATACATTTTCCTCATCGCTACCGTGAGGTAGGATGCCCAAAAGACTGGCAGCATTGCCACGTTGAATGGCAATGCTTAACCTTTGCCCAAGGAAGTAGCCAGCCCTTCAATCACCTGAAGTGTCAACCATCCTCCTTACAATATCTTTGTAAAGAAGATGTGTTCCCCAAACGGTTTGAAAGCATAATTGCCAATCATGCTATTATACTTTCGCCGTTTGAGGTTGTAAGATGGGATGGCGCCAGAGTATCAACGCAAGTGGCGTCCCATACTAAAGCCCTACCCATCTTCCAAGGGAATAATGACATACCGTCGGGTCTCTTACCATCGTCGTGTACCAAGCCATTAGGTTCTAAAGTAGCTGGCACGCCAACGGAGGCAAGAGCTCGACGAATTTAAGTCATTAATACTTGCGTGTCGAGCAAAACGGCCCGCACTACGGCTACATGACAAGCCGTGGTGTCCAAGGCTGTTGACATCTTCACCACAACGACAACGATGAGGTGAACAAAATGAAGCTCCAAGCCTTAAACAAATTTTATTAAATAATGGACGAGCTTGTGGCAAACAAAAAGATATTAACAAATACGCTAAGTGTTTAAAGGAAGTAAAAACTGCAAAGAACATTTAAAGAAGGAACATTAAAGAAAATGTTTTTTTAGGAACCTTACCTATTAATCAATTACATTTGATTATCTTTATTTACTTCTAAACCAAATAATAAGAAAAATAATAATTAAGTTAGACTAGCTTTTATAAGCATTATGTTTGTATTTCGTTGATAAATTCCAAATAGAGAAGTACTGATTCAGTTAGATAGATATGGCAGAGATTAAGATATTCAGATACGTGTTTTTTCAAAATAATTTTAATAAGTTGATATTAGTTTGTACTTGTTACTATCATTATGATATCTTTATAAGACTATTGTCGGAATACTGAAACGCTACTCAATTTTAAGTCGCGCTTAAGAATAGTTCTGTCACCACTAATTCTTTGTAAAATGACAGAGATGGCACGATATTTGAGCACGACTTAAAATTGAGTAACTTTTCAGTATTCCGGCATATGTACCGGTTTTGTCTAATAGTTCAAAGTAAATAATTAAAATTACTCATTGTTTTATTCCTAAAACCAACATTTACCAGCTGACAGTGGTAAAACCTAGCATATACTGAGTTCGAATGGTAAAAGCTAGAAAAAATCGTCGTATCTTCAGAAATACTTACATTTACCAACTCATGTCGGTAAATCCTAAGACTTACACTTAAATCTTAAGATTTACCGTAGTTCGAGCTTTTACAGTAACATATACATATGTCGGAGATACGCTAACAGTGGGTCGCGACATTGTCAAATCACACCAAATTACCGATAATAGTGAGAACGCAGGAAGTTTAGCATGGAGTAACACTTCTAGATGCTGCCACCGCCGCCATCTTTGCAAAAGTGTTTCCCGCGCCCAGTGACGTCTGTCAACGTCATTCGCTGTCAAATGTCAAAGTCTGATTAAACTTCCGAATCGATTACTCCATCGATTCGGTTGCCAAAGAAGAAAAAAAAAATACTCCATCGGTGTTGCCATTACTCGGCGCTAACCATCCTCAAGTAATTACTTGACGTTCTCAAAAAATAGTTGCGACATATAAATCGATTGATATGCGTTGACGCTTCGACATATATAAAAAGTCTCATGTATATTAATGAATCTGTGTTGTTTCAGGATCTGGCCGCGTTACAAGAAGGCAGTGAGAGTAGAGACAGTACTAGCATCAACGTCGGCCTGGATTACAAACCCAATGATCCCGACAATGAGGTAAATTTTTATTTACTAAAAATCGTGGGTTACTCACGTGAATATACTGAGAAAAGCTCTACTAGTTTCGAACCACAGAGGGGTTCTTCCTCATGAGCAGCGTGCGCAGTCGCGGCGACGTCGCTACTGGCTAGCGTTGGCGCTAGCCTCGGTCTTCTGTACTCTTGTTTTCATTCTGAGTTCAGCGCTGTGTGAAGGAAAAGTTGTAGCTGCACAATATTCGGGAGTGGGCCAGTATCAGCTCTGTAGAACAACTTTTCCGCCTGGCCAATTCAAAAAGCTGACGGCCAACCTTCAGGAATGAAATGGCACCATAAAAAGAAGAAGAATAGTAATTTACACAAAATTGGTTTCCCAAACCCGATGTGCTGTATTTATCGCCATTTTATATACTTTATCCCCTAAAACAGAATCAAATAGAAATTTTCTTCATCCATGTGTATGTTATATCTCCCCCAGGCCCCTCTGGAACCGATCCACATCCTAATGATAGGCGTCCGTGACTCCGGCGAGAACGATGACAGCGCGGTCTCCAGGAGATTCGGCAACTTCTGCAGAGCACATAGACATGAACTGCATCAGAAGAGGATCAGAAGGATCACCTTTATGCTGCTAATCAAGTAAGTTCGTTGTGTGAGTGAGGTTACCGGAGGCCCAATTACCCACCCCTTCTCCAATCTCTCCAAAAAGCCGGTAACGCACTTGTAACGCCTCTAGTGTTCCGTGTGTCCATGGGTGACGCCGATTGCTTACCATCAGGTGATCCGTCTGCTCGTTTACCGGCTTCGGCTTATGCCATAAAAAAAAAGAGTTGACGTTTTGAGAAATACAGATAGTATAATTTAAACTAGCTTCTGCCCGCGACTTCGTACGCGAAATCCCGTTTTCTCCCGTTCCCGTAGGATTTTCAGAACTTTTTCTGTCTTAAGAACCGTCTCCTAATAATAGTAAATACAACAATAAGAGGATTAGTATAATCCGTCCAGCCAATCACGCGTGATGCCGTGACCAAGGGAAAAAGGGATTCATTTTTTTATATGTAGACAAGGGAAAAAGGGATTTATTTATATATATATACAGGGTGGAATTTTGTAATGCTACCTGAAAGAGAAAAAACTTACTCGAATTTACTCGAAGAAAATATTCCTTTATTTTTGAAAATAAACAAAACTGCATTCAAAGATTTTTAAAAATTAGCTTGCCTCGCACGGTAATCGATCCGACTAAAATTGACAAAGTTTGCACCCTGTACTTTTATTGCACCGACCGTTCATTGTTTCCTTTCATTAAATTTATGAAGTTTGTTACAGAGATTGCATTCTTATTGACCCTAACAATCGATGCAATAAATGTATAGGGTGCAACTTTACAGATTTTAGTCGGTTCGATTACCGTGTATGGCAAGCGAATTATAAAAATCTTTGAATGCATATTTCTTTCTATTCAAAGGAATGTTTTCTTTGATTAAAATTTTCTATTTAAAGTATTAAACTGTGAAACACCGGTGACCGCAACCTATTGTTATTTAATTGTGTCTATAATGACGGTACTCAAAGGGTTAAAGAGTACTTTCCCTTCAGGGTGCTTACTCTTGAAACCAATCTCAATGTCAATGCAATTTCAATCCAATAAAATCTCAATAATTATTCAATCTCAAAACTATACAACCCCTATCGTAGCTGTTATAATAGCATTCAGAGTACGGAATATAAATCTAAACTCAATACTGTTTAGTTCATTCAATATCCACGCAATACGGATGCAATGGGCGCTAGTGTTGCAACCCGAGAGTACGAAATTTCAGAATACCAATGTCGATCGATCGGAATTGGATTCAAGAGTAAGCCCCCAGGTGGCATTACGAAATTCCACCCTGTATATGTGGTGACTCGCTCGTAATGCAGTCTGGCAAGCTACTGCCATAATTTTCGAAGACCCCTTCTCGCATTAAGTAAAAACGCGGGTTACTCACGTGAATATACTGAGAAAAGCTCTACTAGTTTCGAACCAATTTCGCAATTGAACAGTTTCATACTATATATGTTTCGCGACCCGTTTGTGTTGTACAGCTGAACGGAGCCGTCTGAAAATTCGTAATAAATAACTCAGCAATACCTGTGTACTCATCGCTTACCCCCAAGCGATATAATGGTCAAACGTCGGCCCATCAAATACATAAAAAAGTACTGAAAAGTAGCTATACTGTCTATGGTTTTCAATAACAAACAGTGTTATTGTTAACAACGTAATTACTTTTTATTTTAGGCGCCAATTCCCTAAGTTCTTCACGTTCCGAGCTCGCAACGACTTCACGGAAGACACGATCTACCGCCACCTGGAACCTGCATCCGCCTTCCAGCTGGAACTGTATCGTATGAGGAGCTACGAGCTAGAGGCACTGCCTACCAGCAACCAGAAGATGCATCTGTATTTGGGTAAAGCTAAGGTTAGTACTTGATAATGTTTCTATTTATTTAAAGGTGATATAAGCAACACTAAACTCCATTGGCTTCGATCACTCTTTTCCCCTCTATTTCTATCCCCCTTATCCCTCACTCGTACCTCTCCTATTATAAGTACGGGGAAGGTGGGATGCGCCCCACCTCCCCCGTCAACTCTCTCCCTCTTACTCCCTTCTCCCCGTCACACCACTCCACTCGGTCCTACCTCATTATCGAGGGGTGCGAGACCTCATGCTACGAACACCCCCCAACCCCCCCTCCAAATTTTCTACCTTTACCAACTACTAACTCCTGTGAAGCATAATCTGCAGTAGCAACTAGATAACCATACACCTTTTATTGAATTTAAACCTATCTTTGCAGGTAAAGAAGGGCCAGGAGGTGACAGACTTCAGATTCTTCATTCGCTCCATCATCAGACACCAGGACCTCATCACCAAGGAGGCCAGCTTCGAATACCTACAGAATGAAGGAGAAAGGTGAGCTATTTAAATCCCGAAAATGCGCGCAACACACTTGTAACGCCTCTAGTGTTCCGTGTGTCCATGGGCGATGCCGATTGCTTACCATCAGGTGATCCGTCTGCTCGTTAACTGGCTTATCCCATAAAAAAGTCATGTATTTAAGAATTTCCGAGTTTTTTTTATAAATATCTAAGTCAAATAAAACCTTTTTTGGGCATCCTCTTCTGTACAGAACCGACACCCTAATTAATTAAAATGTAAAACTCCAATTTCGGATTCGATTCTCGGGTGGACAAAATACTGGGGTTTTAAAAAATTCTCAGTAGTACCACGGAGTCTGGAATTTTGCCCGGTATATAGCAATAGGTTCACCCCCTATTACATGGTACTCAACATAAATAGTGAAAAGTGGGTGTTACATTGTACAGTGGCATTAAGTGTCGCAATGTGCACCTCTGCCTACCCCTTAGAATCTTAAACATGTGTACTTGTAATTGATTCACTGATACCTGCGCTTATTATTATTAGTAAGTCTTCAATGTACTAAAAATAAATAAAATTGTCAGGGTACTCCTGGAAGCGATGGACGAGCTGGAGGTGGCCTTCTCCCACCCTCTGGCCAAGCGGACGGACTGTAATCATATCTTCCTCAACTTTGGACCCACTGTCATCATGGACCCCGCTAAGGTAACAAATTTAATATAGTTTTTATATTACCAGGATGTTTATAGTTGGTCGGGTACAAGTCGTGGTCACCCGGAGGTTTAAAGACGCCCGCTTCTCATGCATGAGAGTGCGAGTTCAAAACTTACCAACGGCAAGTACCAATGTGACTTTCCGAGTTATAAAACTATTTAGACACCACTGACCAACGGTGAAAAAAAAAGTCGTGAGGAAACCTAGATTTTATAATTTCTAATTATAAGTTTGAAATCGCCAACCCGCATTTAGCAGGCATGGTGATTAATACTCAAACCATCTCCGTGTGAGAAGAGGCCTTTTGGTCAGCAATGGCTAAAGATGATGATACAATACCAATAGGCTTAAAATTTTAACATGCGCTGTGCTATTGATTTGTTAGTAATAGGGTAGATGCCTAGTTTTTATTTTAATGTCAGTCTGGTAGATTATTTTAAATCATTACACACGTATTTTTTATTTTCTTACGGAAATGAATACTTTCGACGATATATTGATTTGAAATGTCGCGTGACGTCACTTCTATGTACATTTTATACGTAGAAGTGACGTATTGTATTGTTGTACTAGCTGACCCGGCAAACTTCGTACCGCCTAAAAGTTTTATCTCACCTTTTAAACCTTCCTTAGACTTCCACGACCCTATCAAGACCAAAATTACCCAAATCGGTTCAGCCGTTGTCGAGTTTTAGCGAGACTAACGAACAGAAATTCATTTTTATTTATATAGATAGATTATACGACAAAATAAAAAAATACATTTCTAATATTTTTTCATCACTTAACTTACGGACTAATTTAGTTTTTAATTTTCATACCCTGTCATCATCCCAATTGTATTTGGTACCTAAGAATAGTCTCACTCACAAAATGCGAGCACAATAGAATTATTGTTTATTTATTTAAACCTTTGTTTTGGAACTAGTAGTCTGTGTAAATTCGATTATTTATAATACAATACCTAGACAATCGACGTCCTCGTCAAACGACGACGTGAGACTGCCATTGCCTCACTTATATCAACAAAACTTCATTTTGATGTAGTGTTCTCTCGTGTTAGTAATTTAACTTCATAAAAATTACACTAAAATCACAGTTTTTGGATTATTCTCGTAGCCGATTCGTACGGCCCCGGTATAGCTTCAAAGTAATCGGACATTCTCGAAAAAGGAATCTTAAACCGTTTGTGGGAACGGGGTGGTTTTTAGTCAGTAAGAGTCTGACACTCCCTCCCGTCTCACCCAGGCGGAAGCAGCCATCCGATGATTTTCCCCCCTTTAAAAAAAAACAAGAAGAAAGATGAACCTTTCTTGATTTAGATAAGAGAGAATCCTCCGATTAGACTAACACCCGAATAATCAAACGCTACTCAATTTTAAATTGTACTTAAATATCGTGCCGTCTCTGTCATTTTACTAAGAATTTGAAGGGATAGAACTATACTTAAGCGGGACTTAAAATCGGGATGATGACGGGGGGAAAATTAAAACGTAGTAATTACGTCAGTTAAATAATGAAAAAATATTACACATAATTTTGTTATGTCGTATAACAAAATAATACTTATAAAAAATTAATTAAAGTTGAGGAGTGGGAGTTAAAACGTCATTTCTACGTACAAAATGTACATAGAAGTGACGTCACGCGACATTTCAAATCAATATATCGTCGAAAATATTCGTTTCAGTAAAAAAATAAAAAATGCGTGTGTAATGATTTAAAATAATCTACCAGACGGACATTAAAATAAAAATTAGGCATCTATCCTATTGAGTATTGCAGCGTACACACTATAATTAAAAAATATAATTATGTACTATCGAAATCTAAATGTTACATCCCTGTTTGTCTTGAAATAATAATATTTTGTTTCATAGATCGAAGAATCCGTGCTGGGTATGGTGATGAGATACGGTCCACGACTCTGGAAGCTGAGAGTGTTGCAGGCTGAGATCAGATTCACGCTGCGTATTGGTGAGTTATTATTGATATTGTTGAGATGAAATAATATTCGCTTTCTTATTAATTATTATGTTTTCGACTTACTCACGTAACCGTTCGACGAGGAACTCGACTAGTTTCAAGCCACGCTAGAGGCTCGTATTCATTGGAAGCTTCAGTAGCAGCGCGAAAGATGAACATATATATATTTTTTTGTTTTAAGAACGTTGCACCACATTAGGATTTTCTCCTGTGTTGTGGGTGCGTTTACGAACATACAAGTTCATATACAGCTGACACCCAGACCCGGAACAACAATTTGTGGATCACACAAAGTGTTGTTCCGTGCGGGAATCGAACCCGCGACACGTTGCACGGCAGCCGGTAGCAAATCCACCGCACCAACGCACGGTTGGTGTTTATGTTATTACTAGCGACCCGCCCCGGCTTCGCACGGGTGCAATATGCATGATATAAACCTTCCTTAAGAATCACTCTATCTATTAAAAAAACCGCATCAAAATCCGTTGCGTAGTTTTAAAGATCTAAGCATACATACGGACATACAGCGAAAGCGACTTTGTTTTATACTATGTATTGATGATACTTATTTACGTTTTACCGAAAATCACGAACGGGAACGGGAAAAAACAGGATTGCGCGTACGAAGTCGCGGGTAGAAGCAGCAGTAGTCTAAGACATACTCCACGTGGTTAAGAGATGATTTAGAAGTAGAAAACACATTATTAACACCCTTTAAAAAGAGAAGGAGGTTATCAGTTCGACCTGTGTATGTATGTATGTTTGTCCGCGACTATCTAGCGATTGGTCGAACCGATTTTGATGCGGTTTTTAGAAAAGTGTTTGATACACTTCGTACATCGTAGAAGGTGTTAGTATATCAACCGATTACAAAAATGATGTTTTTCAAACGCATTTTATGTCTTCATAGTTTATACTACACCGTGAAATCTATTTCGTTTTCGTCCCGAAGTACAATGGTTCTGTCTCGGTAATACAATAGTTTTACAAACAAATAAAATGTTTAAAACCAAGAAATAACTGGTGAACCATTGCAACGCAAACTTCGAAAGAACATACGAACTCATAGTACATTATCAAAACATCACGCCATGTCATTCTCGAAGAGGTATCTCTCGTCGGGTGGCACGTGCGATGCGGATAGTGCCTACAAATTTACGTCTAGTGTTTCATGTTCGTATTGCCATGAACTTTTTTTTTAATTAAAAAATGTTGTCTATATTTATTTTTGTTTTTACTTTATACATAGAAACTACTCCTTATGGGAAGTTGTTTTGCCGCGGGTTGGTAACGAAATATATTTCACGGTGTGTATTGGCTATGTGCGCGACGGTGGCGACGCGTAGCGTTTACAACATTTGCGGAAGCTGTCAAATAATAAAAATGTTAACAGTATAATTTTCTTTGCAAATATAAATAAAACCAAATATTAAAATAGTATTGCTGACATTATTTAAGTGCAATTAGCCTTTTTCCTGGGAAGATTAAAAAAAAATCCGCTAGGGGCAGCACCGGTACATATGTTTTGAATTCTCTATTGACAACAACGTCAAACGTGTAGAATTAAAATGGAATTAACTGAAGATGATGTACCTTTGACGTACGTTTGACGTTGTTGTCAATAGAGAATTCAAAACATATGTACCCCCCCACCGGTGCTGCCCCTAGCGGTTTTTTTTAATCTTCCCAGGAACAAGGCTAATTTATTCAATAGTTTTACTGTAAAATGAATATGATAATAAAAACCGGGTTTGCATCATCCGCATTTGTTTCCAATTTCTGCCGTGTTGTGCGCTGCGGTCGTTATCTGTCCGCCACTACTCGCTTTGCACATAGCCAATAACACCGTGAAATCTATATCGTTTCCGTTCATTCATTATTCATAATTATTGCCCCCAGGTCCGGGAGCGCCAACAAAGAACGTTCGTCTCTGCTTGTCCAACGGTTCAGGATACTCGCTCGACATCTACACCTACGAGGAGGTGTCAGACCCTAAGATCGGAGTGGTGAGTTTATTAATACATAACATCATGCCTTTTATCCCCGAAGGTGTAGGCAAAGGTGCACATTTCACACTGTACATTATAACATCCACTTTTCACTATTTATTATTTTTTTTATTTTATTTCTTTAAAAAAACATTGCCCCACTTTAGGATTACCTCCTGTGTCGTGGGTGCGTTTACAAACATACAAGTTCACATACACAATGACACCCAGACCCGAAACAACAATTTGTGGATCACACAAAGTGTCCTTCCTCATATTCTACGCGGACGATGTCCCGGGTACCAGCTAGTTATATAATAGTAATAAAATCAATTTTGTTTTAGATAATGTTCCAATCGTTCGGTCCCCGTCAAGGCCCGATGCACGGCCTGCCGATCTCCACGCCATACGTCACAAAAGACTATCTGCAGCAGAAGAGGTTCTTGGTAAGCATATATTAGTTAAATACCGTGACCCGACCGCAATAGCTTAAGTCGCGGCGCAAATTTTTAGCACTAGCCCGTACCTATATTATAGAGGTTTAAGACGCCCGCTTCTCATGCATGAGAGTGCGATTTTAAACTGTCAAACACCGCGAGGACACCGGTGACCGCAACCTATTGTTCTATAATTGTGTCTATAATGACGGTACTCGACGAGTTAAACCTACCAACGGCAAGTACCAATGTGACTTTTTCCGAGTTGTATTATTTCCGAGTTAAAATACTTACATTCTATGATACAAAAAATAAACTTAAACCTAAACTTTTAGTTATAATTTCATTAATGATGTGCTTGTAGATAAACGTTTATGTCCCTGAAAGGTTCAACAGGGTTTTTGTTACATAATGTATAACATTTTTGAACGAGGAAATAATTAATTGAAATGTACAATTTACTCACGTGAACTATGTATATGAAAATAATTAATTGAAATGTACAGTTCGCACAAATGAACTTATTTTATTTTCAGCCATGATCATCCCATGGCAAAGGCCTCCCTACCCTCCTTCCACTCCTCTCTATGTAAAGCTTTTTGCAGCCAATCCTTGTCATAGATGTCTAATTCGTCCCGCCATCTCCTTTTGGGCAAACGAACAAATGAACTACCTATACGAAAATAATTAATTGAAATAAACAGTTTGCTCACGTGAACTATACGAAAAATTCTCAACTGCTTTCTTTTATTTTTGTTGCCTGTTTTTAATATGTATCATTATAGTTATTATACAACAATATACATATGTATATAAATTTACGAAAATGTCGACGCTGAGCGAGGTGTATCGGATTTGATTTCTGGGCTGCTGAAAAGTTTTTTATGAGCATTTTGTGTAATAAATAACTAGCAAGAGCTTCTACGAATTCTCTATTCTTTACTTGAATTTGTTACAAAAATCAAAAAGATGTATTTATGTCTACCATGGTGTGACATCAACATAACATCACGCCTTTTATCCCCGAAGGGGTAGGCAGAGGTGCACATTATGCCACTGTACAATGTAACACCCACTATTACTATTTATGGTTTGAGTCCCATGTAATAGGGAGTGAGCCTATTGCCATAAACCCGGCACAATTCCAGACTGTGCTACTGCTAAGAATTTTTTAAAAACCCATTTATACTTTGCCCGACCCGGGAATCGAACCCGAGACCCCTTGCTCGGCAGTCGCATTTGCGACCATGGTGTGAATACGTGATTTTATGATTGTAGTAAAATACAATAATATTTTTATTTTCCCAGGCAACGTCACAAGGCACGACATACGTGTACGACATCCCCGACATGTTCCGACAGATGATAGAGAGGAGGTGGAGGGAGTGTATTGAGGAAGGCAGCGTCGATGGTGAGTTACTCGTCTAGTATGTCCCCTCCACTCTTCTACTGGGTGAATTACCAACTGATGGCGCCACATTTTCACGTCAAATAGCACACGCATTTAAATCGAATATTAAGTATTTCGTCTAATTAATGTATAAAATTGTTATTATTTTTTTATATTTAATTTTATTTAATGCCTCGTTGGCCGAGTGGTCGCAAGTGCGACTGCCGGGCAAGGGATCTCGGGTTCAATTCCCGGGTCGGGCAAAGTACTACTGGGTTTTTATAAATTCTCAGTAGCAGCACGGAGTCTGGAATTGTGCCCGGTATATGGCAATAGGCTCACCCCCTATTACATGGGACTCATAACATAAATAGTGAAAAGTGGGTGGTACATTGTACAGTGGCATAATATACACCTCTGCCTACCCCTTCGAGGATAAAAGGCGTGATGTTATGTTTTATTTGAAAAATCAACAACATTTATTTTTCACCTAGGAAACTACACAATTTACTAGTCTGTAACATTATAGGCCTCATAATATAGCTGGCAGAAACATGACATCACGCCTTTTATACCCGAAGGGGTAGGCAGAGTTGCACATTATACCACTGTACAATGTAACACCCACTTTTCACTATTTATGTTATGAGTCCCATGTAATAGGGGGGACCCTATTGCCATATACTACGCAATTACAGATTCCGTGCTACTACTGAGATTTTTTTTAAACTTTCAGACACCGCGAGAACTCCGTTGACCGCAACCTATTGTTCTTTAATTGTGTCTATAATGACGGTACTCAAAGGGTTAAACTCACTAATACTTTGCCCGACCCGGGAATCGACCACTCGGCCAACGAAGCAGTCAGTGCAATATAACAATACAGATATAGTAATATATATATATATATATTTTGTATCACCACAGGCCCGCCTCCAGACAACGTGATGAACTCAGTAGAACTGGTGATTGAACCGGATGGGGAGAGACGAGTGGTGGAAGTCACCAGGCTGCCCGGACAGAATAATGTAAGTGTAATCAAAGTCAGTCTAAATATATTTTTTAATAAGACACTTTTGAAACGTCAACAAAAAATTAAAGTGAAGCTCATTGCTCATTCCAAGGTGTAGATTTTACACTAATATCTATCTAAGATTATCTAGACAAACTGACAAACGGTGAAGGAAAATATCGTGAGGAAACCTGAGCTTAAAATTTCTAATTATAAGTTTGAAATCGCCAACCCGCATTGAGCAAGCGTGGTGATTAATACTCAAACCTTCTCCGTGTGAGAAGAGGCTTTGCTCAGCAGTGGGCATTTATAGGCTGTTGATGATGATGGTGATGAAGCATGTTTTCTGGGGTCAATAATTAATAAAACTATCTCTTATCCAGGTCGGTATGGTAGCGTGGCGTTTAACCCTATACACGCCGGAATGCCCTGACGGCAGGGATATCATCCTGATTGCGAACGACCTGACTTACTACATGGGGTCGTTCGGACCCCAAGAAGACTGGGTGTATTACAAGGCGTCAGCGTATGCAAGAGAATTGAAAATACCCAGGGTAAGTTGTTATTCTATTTGTTTGTAGGAAATTGGTGTATTTAGTTTTGGGTTTTCTCTTGTTTGACTGCCTCGTTGGCCGAGTGGTCGCAAGTGCGACTGCCGGGCAAGGGGTGTCGGGTTCGATTCCCGGGTCACGCAAAGTAACATTATTTTTTCAAAAATTCTCAGTAGTAGCACGGGGTCTTGAATTGTTTCCAGTATTCCATGTACTCATAACATAAATAGTGAAAAGTGGGTGTTGCATTGTACAGTGGCATTAAGGTCCGTAATGTGCACCCCTGCCTAATCCTTCGGGGATAAAAGGTGTGATTTTATGTTATAAAGAAGAAAAAACGCTAGTGGCTGCTTTTCTTTGGTTCCAAATATAATTCAATTTCAACAATCACATATTCTTTATACTGTTTTAAATTCACATAATCTTATATTATTATATAAAGCGGAAGAGTTTGTTTGTGTGTTTGAACGCGCTAATCTCCGTAACTACAATTCTGATTTGAATAATTCTTTTTGTGTTGGATAGCGCATTTATCAGTATCATCATCATCAGAGCGTGTGAAACCGCGCGGAAGTAGTTAGTCTCCTAATATTTACCTTGTAAAAATAATCTTTTAACAGGTATACGTAAGCGTGAACTCAGGCGCCCGTATAGGAGTCGCTGAAGAAGTCAAATCTGAGTTCAACGTAGCTTGGATAGACTCGGAACGTCCAGATAGAGGTTTCAAATACCTCTACTTGACCCCAGAGTCGTACTCCAAGCTGGGTCCCCTGGGGTCTGTGAAGACGACCCTCATTGAGGATGAAGGAGAGTCCAGATATAAGATTACTGATATTATTGGTGAGTTTGTGTTTTTTTTTTGCAATTCTGCCATTTGGGGTAAATTTTGCCATTTGAGGTCATTATTTCGCAGTTTTTGTCCCGTTAGATAGTTAGCCTTCGAATATTCGGAAGCGCAGCTGCCCAGAAATAGGTTTCAAATACGATCCTCAGTGCCTTTAGCCAAACGCCACTTTAGCGCTTGTCTACAGAGAGAGTAGAAAACTAAATATATGGGGATGACACTGTCGAGTGTCAAAATTTACTTCAATTCCATATAATTTGGTTTTCTATTCTACATGTAGACAAGCGCTAAATGGCTTTTTGCTACAGCTGCAGGTCTAGTAAGTGTTTCTTGAGAATTATCGGGATTTCAAGAATCCTCGACAAAAGTATGTACCTTGGATTTACTCGCAACGTCTACAGGAGGGGTTTCTAGTGGCTCTACTTGACCCCAGAGAAGTAGTCTAAGCTGGGTCGCCTGGGGTCTATTTTTTTTTTTTTTTTTTTCTTATATTTTCTGCAACTTAGCAATCTGTGATCATTCACAATGAGCCATTCTGTTGTGGTCCACGTCACCAGTCTTTGTTCTTACAGTAGGAAAGTTTTGTTTTCCTCTCATAAGCTGTCGAACCTCGTAGTAAGGGTAGGAACGCTATGGCGTTTGAGTCTGGAGTATGTGACACTTCCCGTGCCTTCGAGTTTAGAAGCAAGTTCATTGATGTGTGTAGATATTCTCGACTGGTAGTTTTTGCTGTATCTGGCAATTTCCTGCTTGACTGTACTGATGTTTAAATCCTCATGTATGTATTTATTACTTACGTAGTAAGGAATATCGAGTATGGCTCTCAGTGTTTTACTTTGAAACCTTTCAAGGATCTCAATGTTGCTGTTGCTTGATGTACCCCACAACTGGATACCATATGTCCAAATCGGTTTAAGGATAGTTTTATAGATGGCCATCTTGCTTTCTTTCGAGAGTCTTGTTTTGCGACCCATTAACCAATGCATTGATCTAAGTCTTGCGTCTAACTGTTTACGCTTAGTCCATATGTGCTTTCTCCAAGTGAGTCTTCGGTCTAAATGCATGCCCAGGTATTTAGTGTCCTCGGCCTGTGGTATCTCCTCATTGTGGAGTTTTATTGGAGGACACGTTTGTTTTCTGAGGGTGAAAGTGACATGGACAGATTTACTCTGATTGGCCTTAATTCTCCAGGTGTCCAGCCACTTTTGCACTTTACTGACATGTTCTTGTAGCTTGGCCGAAGCTATAAGTGGGTCGTTGTGTACTGATAAGAGGGCTGTGTCGTCTGCGTAGGTGGCAGTAAGGGTGTCGGTATGTAGCGGTAGATCTGCGGTGTAAATTAAGTACATTACGGGACCCAGTATACTACCTTGTGGGACTCCTGAGAAGATATTGTTCAGCTGTGAGGTTTCGTTTTTAAGTTTTACCTCAAAGCATCTGTTATTCAGGTATGATTGCAGGATTGAGTAAAACGAGTGTGGCAGTAGTTTTTTGACCTTATAAAGAAGTCCCTCATGCCAGACTCTATCAAATGCTTGACTTATATCCAAGAATAAAGCCGAACAAAATTGCTTGCTTTCTAGCGCTCGACTTATCGTATCCGTGAGGCGGTGTACTTGTTCGATAGTCCCATGCTGTTCTCTGAAGCCAAACTGGTGGTCAGGTATTGTTTCCGGTAGGTAGGTGCGCATCCTGTTTAGTAGGATTTTCTCTAGAAGTTTGCCTAGCACCGGGAGTAAGCTTATCGGTCTGTAAGAATTTACTTCATGGGGCGGTTTGCCTGGTTTGAGTATCATGATAACCTGGGCAATTTTCCACTGTGCCGGGTATTGGCCTAACTTAAGACAGGCGTTAAAGATTGCAGTAATGAGTATTATTCCTTTTTTTGGTAGTTGTTTTAAAAGTTGTGCGTCAATTAAGTCATAGCCTGGTGTTTTACCTTCCGGTAGTTTTAGGATTTCCTTCCACACTTCCTTAGGGCTAGCACTTTTTAGCGGTAAGCACATTTGTAGTGGGGAACCGAGGTACTCATAAACGTCTTTGTCATGATCTGGGTGTTTACTTGTCAGAGGTTGGAATACGTCCTTTAGGTGTTCTGAGTACGCTTGAGCTTTTTCAAGATCTGTTCTTGCCCATTTTCCTGGAGTAGTTTTTATTGGTGGTATGTGTGTCTTTGGCCTTTTCAGTTTCTTTGTTATCTTCCAAAGGGAATAGTTAGTGTCTTTGTTTGGAGTAAGGTTGGCAAGTTGGTACTGGAGTCGTGCATTATCTGCTTGGTAGATCATGTCTTTGAGTTCTTCTGAAGCTCGGTTAAAGGCTTTCTTGTCACGAGGATATCTTGTAGAATGCCACCTTTTCCGAAGACGTCTTCTCTCGTTTACTTTCTCCTTTATTGATTTAGCGTACCGTGATTTTTGTGCGTATTGTCTCTGCATAGGTGAGGATTCTTTTGCCACTCGGTGGATGAGCTTATTGAGAAATTCAATTGTTGCTTCGATACCTTTCAAACTTCTCAATGGCGTGGTTAAATTTATTGCCTTCGTTATTTCGGTCCTATAGTTGTTCCAGTCCGTTTTGTGATTGTAGAGTCTCTCTGGGTAGTCCGTCATAATTGCCTTCCAGTGTAAGTTCATTATTGTTGGTGTGTGATCCGAGGACAAGTCGGTACATTCTTCTGTGTCTATCTGGTTAGATGCTATGTTTTTGGTGATGAAAAAATCCAGTAGGTCTGGCAATTTATTAGGATCTGATGGCCAATATGTGGGGACGCCGTGTGAAGTGCATTGCAGTTTAAGATCTTTCATTGCCGAGTACAATTGCCGTCCACGTGGCAAAGTCATCCTAGAGCCCCAGAACAGGTGTTTGGCGTTCCAGTCTCCTCCACAGATGAACCTGTTTCCAAGTGTATTAAAATAACTCTTATAGTCCTCGCCAGTGATAACATGCCTTGGTGGACAATAAATGGCAGAGACGGTTGTTTCTATTTTGCTGTCGAGGATTTTAATTGACGTTGCTTGAATTTTGTCCGTTTCATAATTTTGCAGAGGATAGTGTTTGATGTTCTCTTTTATTAATACGGCTGTGCCTCCATGTGAATTACCAGACGGGTGGTTTGTAGTATATACCGTAAAGTTTTGAATGTTAAAGTTGGTTTTTGCTGTAAATCTTGTTTCAGATATTAGCGCTACGTCGACTCTTTCCATCGTTAGGAAAAGTTGTAATTCTTGTCGGCGTTCCGTCAACCCGTTGGCATTCCACGTAATTATTCTTAGATTTAGGGGTGTTTGATGAGGCTTGTGACTAATTGGATCATTCGATCCATCATTTTGTCTAACATGATGGTCATCATGTTTTGTAATTTATCCATCATTACGTCTAGTAACTCGGAAAAGTTATTTGGTTCCTTATTGTCTATTTTGGTTTTATTTGTGTTTTGTTGGTTTACTACCTGTGCGTAAGTCATGTTTGGTTTAAGGTGTTTCGTGTAGTTTCTGGGCTGGTTTATTTTTTGTTCTGATTCTATTGGGTGATCGTTCTGTTGGATAGTTTCTATTTTGTCGTTGGGTGTCTTTACTTTGTTTCTTTTTAGTAGATCTCTGTATTGTTTGTATTTAGTGCAGCCTTTGTAGCTTGCTGGGTGGTTTTCTTGGCAGTTGGCACAAGTGGCGTCTGTATCAGGACGTTTTAGGCAGCTTGCTGTTGGATGATCTTCCCCACATTTTACGCATCTATGTGGCCTATTGCATTGATTTTTAGCATGTCCGAATCTCTGACAGCGTTTGCATTGCAGGATTTCTTGTTTTTTATATGGTGCCTCAAAGTTAATTTTAACCCTGTTGATTTGTTTAATGTTGAATATGTCTTTGTTGTTATGCTTTGGTTCTAAATCTATATAGTATAACGGAAGTGGACTTTTCGTTGTCTTATGAAGTACATTTGTAATTTGTCTGACGTCATGTCCCAGTTCAAAAAGCTCTTGTTTTACTTGTTCAGTGTCCTCCGACGAGTGCAAGCCACGAAGTACAACTCGGTAGGCTCTTTCACTTTTCAGTTTGTACGTGTAATGGCTTACATTGTCAGTAACGAAGTTGTGTCTGATAAGTTTATATGTATCGACATCAGTCGGCATTATTTTGACGATGTGGCCAGATCTCAGAGTGGTCATGGTATACTTATCAGATTCTGTAATCGTAGAGAGAAGTTCTTTTAATTTTTTTATGTCTAGTACTCCCGTGACAAATATGGGCTCTGGTTTCGGCGGTCTAGGTTCCCTTTGTGGTAAGTCTGTTTCTTCGTTGCTAGGTATGTCGAGGATTTCATATCTATTTTGTGTGGTTACCGCGTAGGTTGTCTTTGTTAGTTTACTAGTTTTGTTAACCATTTCAGGGCTTGATTCTGCCTTCCTTTTAGTTGATACCTGATCATTTTGCCACGGTTGCTTATCAGTTCTACTGAGTGTTACATCATGCGTCCAGTCACTTGATTTGTTTTCTGGCTGTGTTTCTTTAGGTATTATTTCGAGAGAGTGGCTTCTTGTTCGAGCAAACAAGCTCTTATGGAGTGTTTGTTGAACTAATTTAGAAGGATTTTCGATTAAGTTTTGTTTTTTGTTTTCATTTTTTGTATTATCCATATTGTTCCCACGAGTTAGGCCGATATAAAAGGTCACTTGAAGGGTGACGCCTATTCCCCCAAGAAGGCTCAATACAGCAACGTTAGCCGGGTCCGTTGAGGTTGGCGCTTGAAACTAGTTTCCCACTAGCTGCTCATTTGGATGTTTATGAGTATCCTTTCGGCACGTTTCCCACCTTAGGATAGGGTTTGGGTTGAAAGAATGTTTAAAGAGGAAGTTCTTCCTCGCAGTCCGGGCGATTAAGCCGAGACTACCATTCCTACTATACAGTAGGGCTATGGTTTGTGAAAGTCATTTCCTACCTCCACTTGCCAGGATTTTTAGTCCTGTTGACAGGTTATTTGACCACCGCCTGTGACTCGGCGTTAAGTTGCTCTTTTAGCACCACCCGCCTGGGGTCTATGAAGACGACCCTCGTTGAGGGTGAGGGAGAGTCCAGATATAAGATTACAGCTATTAAACAGTTATTTAAAAAAAAACATTGCCCCACATTAGGAGTTTCTCCTGTGTCGTGGTGGCGTTTACAAACATACAAGTTCATATACACATGACACCCAGACCCGAAACAACAATTTGTGGATCACACAAAGTGTTGTTCCGTGCGGGAATCGAACCCGCGACACGTCACACGGTAGCCGGTTGCCCAGCCAACGCACCAACCGTGCAGTCCTTATTGAACCTTACTAAATAAAAACTTTTTCTCCAACAGGCAAAGAAGACGGTCTAGGTGTGGAATGTCTCCGCGACGCCGGTCTAATAGCCGGGGAGACTGCGCAGGCGTATGAGGATATAGTCACTATATCTATAGTCACGTGTCGAGCTATTGGCATCGGGTCTTATGTTGTACGGTGAGTTATATTTTTAACTAGCTTCTGACAGCGGCTATGCCCGCGTTCCCTTGGAATAAAAAGTAGCCTATATGGTTTTTGTAATAACTATCGTGAGACATACTAAATTAACTAAAAATCGCGGGTTACTCCCGTGAATATACTGAGAAAAGAAAGAGGGGCACTGAGCACTAGAATCAAATATAGTATTTTTTGAGTTTGATAGTTTTCTTACACTAATAGAAGGGTTCAATATAAAAGTCTTGTCAAATACACCATAATAACGAATGTTAAGTGGGAATAAGAAATTAATAAAATAATACTTATATTTTATTATTATTTTTTTTTAGACTGGGCCACCGAGTAATCCAAGTGGAATCATCATACATCATTCTAACCGGCTACGTGGCCCTAAACAAGGTGCTGGGCAGACCAGTCTACGCCAGCAACAACCAGCTGGGAGGCCAGCAGGTCATGCACCATAACGGGGTCTCTCATGCAGTAGCCCCCACTGACCTGGAAGCTGTTAGGACTGCGCTAAGATGGCTGTCGTTTGTACCTAAGGTGAGTTGGGGTCAAAATTTGGTGTCATTAATTTGGGACCAAAGTTGAGATATTATCTTCTGCAATATAGGGGAGGCATTTTTCGTGTCTAAGGTGAGTTGGGGTCGAAATTTAGTGTCTTTAATTTGAGGTCAAAGTTTAGATATTGCATTCGGGAGATGCAATATTAGGGAGGCATTTGTCGTGCCTAGGGTTAATTGGGGTTATTTGTTTATAGTCGATGTTAGAGGTCATCCTGGGGTCGGAATTAAGAGTCTTATTAAGATTAAATGGTAAATGCTCCAAAATTGGGTCTCACGTAGTAGATAATTAATCACGTAGTAGACATGTCAATGTATGTTCAAAACTCACAACAGTGTTAAACTTTTACACCTACTATTGTGTCTCTCTGCATCACCCTAAGGTTGACTGTTAGAGAATGCCACTGGGCATTAAGTCCGCCATTGTATACAAGAAGTGTAAATAAATAAATAAATAATTTGATGTAGCTTTTCTTAAAATATAAATGGATTATATATATCCTTTGAGATCAAATTAGCTTTCGGTTAAATATTTTCAGACTGACTACAATAATAGGCGTGTCGACAGGGTAAAAAAATCAAAAAAGTAATTAGTCCGTCATTAAGTTCGCACGAAAATATCAGACACGTATTTTTTGTTTTATCAAATTAACAGAAGAATACATAGTTATTCCGCATTAAAGTTAGGGAGTGGGGGGTGTTGACGTCACACTTATGGAGAAATCGTACCTAATTGTGACGTCACGCGTCATTTTAACTCAAAATATCTACATGTTTTTTTGGATACGAGAAAAAAGAAAAAATACGTATCGAAGATTTTTAAAATATCTAAAAGACGGACAAAAAATTAAAAAATAGTCGCCATGCCTATTCAAATGTGTCTTTCCCCAGGACAAAATGAGTCTAGTCCCCATAATGCGTCCGGCGGACCCCATCGACCGGCCCGTGGAGTGGGTCCCGCCCCGCGCCGCGCACGACCCGCGCCTCATGCTGGCCGGCGACGCGGCCCGCGGAGGGTTCTTCGATGCGGGCTCCTGGGACGAGGTCATGCAGCCTTGGGCGCAGACTGTCATCACTGGTAAGGGTCGATCGATAGATGTCGATGATGAAATCATTTTTGTGAAATCATATCCCATAGTAGGACAGGCTACTTTAATTTGAATCAAACATAACAACATTTTACACAACAACAGTCGTGATGGCCCGGACGTTAAGACGCCCGCTTCTCATGCATGAGGGTGTGGGTTCGAAACCTACCAACGGCAAGTACCAATGTGACTTTTTCCGAGTTACATGTACTTTCTAAGATTATTTAGACACCACTGACAAACGGTGAAGGAAAACATAGTGAGGAAACCTGTGGTTATAATTTTAATTATAAGTATGTAATTGCCAACCCGTATTTAGCAAGCGTGGTGGTTAATGCTCAAACCTTCTCCGTGTGAGAAAAGGCTTTGCTCAGCAGTGGGCATTTATAGGTTGTTGATAATGATGATGATAATCAACGATGTCGGAAACAGCTTTCAGAATTTTCTCGATTATTGTATTTAAACAATTATGGGAGCGATAAATCGATTTAGCTTTTGTTTTTGTTATAATAAACGAAATTTTCTAAAAATGAGTTTCATTTTTAGACAATTTCGTTTACCACAACAAGCCACCCACTAATAATGCTTTATTAATCACACCCAGGTCGCGCCCGTCTCGGCGGTATCCCAGTAGGAGTGGTGGCGGTGGAGACGAGGACGGTGGAACTGACCCTCCCTGCTGACCCCGCCAACCTGGACTCTGAGGCTAAGACGCTGCAACAGGCTGGACAGGTATAATTAATTACAATAGTGAATACTTTTTTTATGGGATTAGAAAGTAAACGAGCAGATGGATCACATGGTGGTAAGCATTCGGCGTCACCCATGGACACCCGGAACACCAGAGGCGTTACAAGTGCGTTACTCCGTCGGGGATAAAAGGCGTGATGTTATTTTATGTTATGTGATACAGTTTTTTTATATTATAACGTTCGCAAGACATACTAAATTATCATGTTTTTCGGCTTACTCCGTAATTATTTGACAAACAAAACAAAAACTCTGCATAGAATATAACTGAGACTTCTCCCTGACAACTCTCCCTTACAATCATTGGAATTGGGTACTTTCCTTAATCAAAAATAAATTATTTCGACTGTTCAATATAATAAATTACTAAAAAATATTTACACTTTCATTAATTGATTTTATGAGCAATTTAATATTTCAGTATTTTCCAGCAATTTTTTAAGAAATAAGTACGTAAGAGCAGTTTGAGATTAAAAAATCGTGACGTCACAATACATAATCTCGTACAAAATTCATACAAAACTGTCGTTTTTGACAGTTAGAAAAAAAGTACTGAATTTGACTAGTTGGCGAGTACCTACCCAATTAGGAAACACAGTCAATGACAAACATTCCTTAAATGTGTATGTCTATATAATTATTATTTATTTCGTTATTCCCTCGCAGGTTTGGTTCCCGGACTCTGCGTATAAGACGGCGCAGGCTATCAACGACTTCTCCCGCGAAGGCTTGCCTATTATAATATTCGCTAACTGGAGAGGTTTCAGCGGGGGGCAGAAGGGTAAGCTATTCTTCTAGATATTTTACTGCCATATAAATTGTAGTAAGGAAATATAAAGATTATAAATCAAGGACGTTGAGAAAAATGCAGTCTCTTGGAACAGCGACTGTGGCACCTGGCTACTATAGACTTACACGTAGACCATGATTGGGATGCCGTCTCCTCCTTTTGCGATGCAGTCATGCTAGCTAAGGAGGAGGCGGGACGCATCCTCGCAACCCAGACATCGCGAAGGACACACCGGGCGTCGGGGATCGCGAGACGATCTCCGGCCACCGTAAGAGCGGGCCGGAGGACATACAGCATGGGTGGCTCCCCGTCCGACCAGAAACAGACATTGATAACTCTGTCTACTGTCACACTGTTCATTGACACACTGATGCGACTAATTCATCATTGACACTGACTGCGCCTTAGGCTTGAGTAACTCCGGAGCGATTCGTTCCGATGAACTGCTCAAACACAGTGAACGAATTGAACTATTTCAGTACTGTGCGGAATTATCGTTCCACAGTTCACCGCTCCAGCTCCTGTATAGGTATATTATTTTACTCTGTCGTTCACCGGCTCATTATAATCCCGATTCCCGCGTCTCTAGTCCAAGCCCGCGTCAGTGTGTGTAGGTAGGAACGAGAGCAGCGTTGCCACAAGGTTACTTTTGTAACCTGTTAGGTGATTTTTGAACTGCTTTGGTTACTTTTAGATTACACGAATGAAAAGGTTACTTTTAATCTTTTACGTTTTTTTCAGAATTTTTAGAATTAAAATTAAAAAAAACAAAATTGTAAATAGGGTCGATTTTTAAATACTTACGCCTTTTAACATTAAAAATGGGTTTAATAATTCATACATGTGATTAGAGAAAACAAAAAAAAGAAACATAAAAAAATATTGTAAATAGAGTCGATTTTTAAAGTGAAAAGTAGGTTTATTAATTCATATGAGTCACTTTAATTGTCAGTCCTAAGCCTGAAAAAAGTATGAAGGGAAATCGAATCTATTTTATAACTGAATTTCATACGTGACGTATGTATCTTATTGTTATAATTCACAGTTTATGAACGAATAGCTAAACAAGTTCCAAATCCGGACTCGGTCGAAAACATGTCTATTCTACAGTTCATTTCGCTCCAGTAGTACTGACTGACCAGCCTACCAAATCAACTCCGAAGCGAAATGAACTGTGGAACGAGTTAGCGGAACGAGTTCACTTCACGGAACGAGATTTGATGAACTAGATCCATTAAGTGAACGACAATGCCCAAGTCTACTGCGCCTCGCAAGGAGGCGTCCTTTTATATGCGATCCGCGCGCGGACAGGATTAATCCTGTCGCTATGGGCTCGTGACTCGGCCGCTCTGCGACTGAATCATGTTCGTACAAGTTCAAAGGCAAGTTCAAACCAAGTACATGGTACGGACAAGTTCAGAACACGTCGCGGGCGGCTCGTGACCTAGCATTGCCGTCGTGAACACACACATTGACACGAAGGACATCTGTTATTTTCTTGAGTCTAGTAACGTGGTCACTCATTACACACGCACAGAATAAATCTACTGAAATGGTGCTTCAATCATTTGTAAGTGGCATTATGTCCGCCTATTATTCAATGTCCTTGATTGAAATTTAATCACCGTTTGAAGGAAATTAACTTATCTCAAAAAAGATTTAACTTTCTTAGAACGGGTTTATAATGTTCTGCTCGCGACTTCGTACGCGCACTCCCGTTTCTTTCCGTTTCCGTTCGTGATTTTGCATAAAAAGTATCCTAGGTCCGTCTCCTGGTTCTAATCTACCACCCCATAAATTTTCATCCGAATCGTTTTATCCGTTCTTGAGTTATACATAGTGTAACTAATACGATTTTATTTTATATAATACTAGCTTTTACCCGCGGCTTCGCTCGCGTCACAAAAGGATAAAAAGCCAATGTGACATATACCAATACACACAGCGCCATCTATACCAATACTTTTGTTTTCCCTCGAGAATATCAAATTTTTCCGGGATAAAAAGTACTCTATTATTTAATCCGGACTTCTAACTTTACGTGTACAAAAATTCAAAGCAATCGGTTTAGTAGTTACGGCGTGAAAGCGGAACAAACAAACAAACTCACTGTCCGATTTATAATATTATAATAAGGATAGATTTATTATTTGTCGACAGACATGTACGAACAAATCTTGAAGTTCGGCGCCGAGATAGTCCGCGCGCTGCGCGGCGCGACGGCGCCCGTGCTGGTGTACATCCCGCCCGGCGCCGAGCTGCGCGGCGGGGCCTGGGCCGTCGTCGACCCCTCCGTCAACAACCTGCGCATGGAGATGTACGCCGATCCAGAGGCCAGGTCAGTACTACATCGGGTTACACACCGCTACTCTTCACGTGGGTGTCGTATACACCGTATTGCAATATCCACAGGCTTTTCATTTTTATGGTATAAACCGGTAAACGAGTAAACGGATCACCCGATGGTAAGCAATCGGCGTCGCCCATGGACACCCGGAACACCAGAGGCGTTACAAGAAATGGATTTCTTTCCCGGAATATATTTTAACTTAACATAATATAACATCACGCCTTTTATACCCGAAGGGGTAGGCAGAGTTGCACATTATACCACTCTAAAATGTAACACCCACTTTTCACTACTTATGTTATGAGTCCCATGTAATAGGGGGTGAGCCTATTGCCATATACCGGACACAATTCCAGACTCAGCGCTACTACTGAGAATTTTTAAAAAACCCAGTAATACTTTACCCGTCCCGGTAATCGAACCCGAGACCCTTGCCCGGCAGTCCCACTTGCGAGCACTCGGCCAACGAGGCAGAATATATATTTTCTGAAGGATAAAACCTGGGTGTCTTGAATATGCTGCTTATGTAGACGTGCTCCATCGTAGGACGCATTAACTCGTCAAGTACCGTCATTATAGACACAATTATAGAACGATAGGTTGCGGTCACCGGTGTCCTCGCGGTGTATGACAGTTTAATAGACACCACCAGGCGAGATACTGGACAAACTTAGACCCATTTTGAAAAATAATGAACCAATGTTAACTTTATATTCCACAGAGGAGGTGTCCTGGAGGCGGAAGCTATAGTTGAAGTGAAGTTCAAGCAGCGAGATATATTGAAGACCATGCACCGACTCGACCCGGAGCTGCAGAGAGTCGGGGCTAGGATCTCAGGTACATACTTAGCATATTATATTATTATTTGCTGCTTCCGCGTGATTTCACTTTACTCGGCACCTATTGGTCATAGCATGATTTTTATAGCCTATAGCCTTCCTCGATAAATGGACTATCCAGCACAAAAAGAATTGTTCAAATCGGACCAATAGTTACTGAGATTAGCGCGTTCAAACAAACAAACAAGCAAATAAGCCAAATCGGTTTTGCCAAATGGGTATTTTCCTTAAAGAAAAAATAATAATTTCGACTGTACAATACAATAAAATATAAAAAAAAATAATCACATAATTGATTTTGTGATCAACCTAATTTTTTTTTATAAATAAGTACACAATGCACAATCTCGTACAAAATTAATAGAAAACTGTCGTTTTGACTAGTTGGCAAATACCTAATTGTGAAATAATTAAAAGTGATTTGATTTAACTGCGCACAAACGACCATAAATACAGGTTCAACGGAGAACCTACTTTTCTTCTTTTTGAAGTCGGTTAATTAAACTGTCAAACACCGCGAGGACACCGGTGACCGCAACCTATTGTTCTATAATTGTGTCTATAATGACGATACTCGACGAGTTAAAATGGTTAAGGTTTGTCTAGAAAACTAGTATCTACACTGATTCGAAACTTACCTGCTGTCAAGTTACATAACATCACGCCTTTTATCCCCGAAGGGGTAGGTAGAGGTGCACATTATGCCACTGTACAATGTAACACCCACTTTTCACTATTTATGTTATGAGTCCCATGTAATAAGGGATGAACCTATTACCATATACCGGACACAATTCCAGCCTCCGTGCTATAACTGAGTTTTAAAAAAAACCCAGTAATACTTTGCGCGACCTGGGAATCGAACCCGACCCGGCAGTCGCACTTGCGATCTACTTATATAAATCTTATCTACTATCACGCTATTTGTATGAATATAAACACAACTGACCAATTTCTATCTTGTTCTAGAGCTGAAAGAACAAATCAAGGAGATATCAAAGGGCTTGGACCGCAGAGGATCCGTCGACGAGAGCCTCATCAGAACTGACGCGGGACGCGCTGGTAAATATCACTTTCATACATAATTATATTTCATATAGATAAGCTACGTGGTATGCTAGCTAGGGAAGAGGCGGGGCGCGTCCTCCAGTCGTCGGGATCGCGGGACGATCTCCAGCCACCGTAAGCACGGGCATGGACGTCGAGCATGGGTAACTCGCCGCCCGACTAGAACCAGACCCGAATCTACGGCGAGCATAGTTAGTTCGCCGCCCGTCCAGTACCAGAACCTGCGTACGGCGAGCATGGGTAGCTCGCCACCGCGCCGAGCGTTTCGCGCGACATAAAAAGCCATCAGACCACCACGGATGTGGCCCAATAGGGCTGATGCCGATTCGGAGTCGCGGAGAACCTAGCGGGTAACCGGGGCTCCGGCTCGACGTGCAGGAGAAGAAACGGGGTGGTTTTTAGTCAGTAAGAGTCTGACACTCCCTTCCGCCTCACCCGGGCGGGAGATGTTTTGAAGATTTTCCCCTTAAAAAAGCTGTATGGTGGTAGTGGCATTGCATTTGTCAGCACCCTTGTGAGATACCCTACGATATGAATGAATTTTCTTAAACAGATAAAGGCTTTAATTTGCAAAACTTGTTACAGCGGAGTCTCGAGTCCGTGAATTAGAAACGGAACTACTAGCCGCTGAGAAGACTGCGAAGGCGCGTGAAAAGGAACTCAGCCCCATTTACCACCAGGTATGTGAAATATATTGAAATCATAAACATATATTACGTGGGACTTCTAAAAAATTGTATTGTGAACCTGATTGACAAAGAAGTAACCTATGGAGTTTCTCGCTCGTTCTTTTCCATAGGAATCTACACCTTGGAATGAGAAAATAGCTTCACTTTTAATGTTTTGATTCCGTTCGTTCGTTTGTGCCTTCCTGGGGGCTTACTCTTGAATCCAGTCGCGGAGAACCTAACGGGTAACCGGGGCTCCGACTCGACGTGCAGGATAAGGAACGGGGTGGTTTTTAGTCAGTAAGAGTCTGACACTCCCTCCCGCCTCACCCAGGCGGGAGCAGTCATTCGATGATTTCACCCCCTTAAAAAAAAACTCTTGAATCCAATTCCGATCGATCGACATTTCATACTCTTGAGTTGCAACACTAGCGCCCATTGCATCAGTATTGCGTGGATATTTAATTGAAGGAAAATGTGGTTCTAGAGTAAAACTGTGTAATAGTTTACAAATAAGTTTATTATTAAAAAATTGTCCAAGAGTAATCAGTAGTTATTTACTTAATGTGTTCAATTAATGTAATTAAAGTACCTACATAGATATAATTATAAGTACCTAATGTGAAATTGTAATTTAAGTCATGTGCTCACTTTAGAATAAGGTACGATGGGGTTGGCATATCCTTAATGGATAAAAACCCCAATACATTTATATATAAGTAAATAAAGATTAAAAAAAATATTTCTGAGATCAGTTCCAATCAAACAGTATCACTCAAAGACGTACAGTACACAGCCATAGATTAAAAAAAAAAAACATAGCTCGATACAAATAAAACAGCGCCACCAGTGGCGAGAATACAAACTAGTTTGCGTTCCATTTTCATTTCAATATTTTAACATTAATGAACTAAATGGTATTGAGTTTGGCTTTATATTCCGTACTATGAATGATATTTTAACATCTACGAAAGGGGTTGTATAGTTTTGACATTGAATAATTATTGAGTTTTCATTGGATTGCAATTGCATTCACATTGAGATTGGTTTCAAGAGTAAGCACCTTGGTCTAATTGAAAAAAAATATTTTGCCTTTTTTTTGACTAACATATTAATATGAAATATGTGCTTTAATACAAAACTAAATTCTAGTAATGGTACAAAGTTTTAAAATGTACAGTTTTAATATTATTTTTAACTATAAGTTAATGTTGTAAAGAAAGTGTATTATCTACTACTAGCTGTTGCCCGCGACTTCGTTCGCGCAGAATGACTTCTGGCAGAATTTAGGTATATTGAATTAGACTTTACCGAGGGACATTCCACGGTAACAAAAAAATGTCGTCAGACTTGATTCAGTACTTAGGTTATATTAACCGTGAAATGAATATATTTTCGTGATTTCAAAAAATAAACAATCCCAATAATCAGCCCTATCAACTAAATCAAGATCAAGTTTCGTACAAACTTTCATCCCTTATTTTATCCCATTGGGGGGTGGAAATGATCAAAATCGTTCCGGATGTCTACATCATAACATCTACCTGCATGTCAAATTTTAACCCGATGAGTTTAAAACTGACAAAGTTTCATACAAACTTTCATCCCCTATTTCACCCCCTTTGGGGTGGAAATTATTGGTCTCGCTGTAATTGCAGCGGTAAGTTCCTTCTTCGAGGAGTGGCTTGAGAGACGCTACGGCGTCCTCACTTACCGCCTGACGCAGGTGCTTACCGGACACGGAACTTACGGTAGGTTCCTGTTTCGGATTGGACGGGAGGAAACGCCCGGGTGTCATCACTGCGAGGATCGCCCGGAGGACACGGTGGAGCATACAGTTGCGGTGTGTCCTGCGTGGGCTGAGCACCGCCGTGTCCTCAAGGATGTGATCGGCGACGGCGACCTCTCGCGTCCGGTTCTGGTTCAGACCATGGTACGAAGCGAGGGGGACTGGGATGCCGTCTCTTCCGTCTGCGAAGCAGTCATACTAGCTAAGGAGGAGGCGGAGCACGTACGTCATAACATCTATCTGCATGACAAATTCAACCCGACCGGTTTAAAACTGACAAAGCTTCACACAAACTTTCATTCCCTATTTTACTCTCTTGGGGGTAGAAATTATCAAAATCCTTTCATAGCGGATGCTTACGTCATAACATCTATCTGCATGACAAATTTCTACCCTATCGGTTTACAACTGACAAAGTTTCATACAAACTTTCATCCCCTTGGGGGTGGAAATGATCGAAATCCTTTCACAGCGGATGCCTACGTCATAATTTCTACCTACATGCCAAATTTCATCCCGATCCGTCTAGTGGTTTGAGCTGTGCGTTGATAGATCACTGTCAGTCAGTCAGTCACCTTTGTATATAGATATAAAAATAAGTCGTGTTTTCCTTCCTGACGCTTTAACTCCAGAACGTACGAACCGATTTCCACGGTTTTGGATTCGTTGGAAAGGTCTCGGGCAGAAAAATCACTAATCACCAAACGAAATGTTACATAAAACGAAGCCATCTGGTGGCGAAACGGAGTTCGCCGGGTTTGCTAGTGTAATATAGTATTAACTTTTGTAGTAGTAACTTTTGAGCCAGGATGTGGCAATCTCCCATGACTTGTTTATTCTTCTTTGGATAAACAATTCATTGGAGATGGATATATTATATAGTATATTCTATGGTTATTTGCTAAAAGTAAATTTGTTTACTTATTATGTATTTTCTTTGCTTACAGATCGCGGTACAATTCGCCGAACTACACGACACAGCCGAAAGAATGTTGGAGAAAGGATGCATATTTGTAAGTATATTCATTTAAATACTTCTATTTGCAACTATTAACAGAAAATGTATTATCTACAGCTAACTGAACGGAACTCTCAGTATAGTTCGTTGAAAAGTGGGTGTTTGTACCTCTGTGTACCACTTCGCGGATGAACTTTAAAAGATGCAGCTTTATTAAATGTATTTGAGGCATTAACCCTTACAGACCAACGCTTCAACACATCCAATGACTAACCTGTGAACCCCCTCCCCCAGGACATAATCCCGTGGCGGGAGTCCCGGCGCCTGCTGTACTGGCGCCTGAAGCGCCTGCTGCGCCAGAACGAGCAGGAGCGGCGCGTGCAGCACGCCGTGCAGCCCGCCGACTGCATGCAGCAGGGGCCCGCCGCCGCCACGCTGCGCCGCTGGTTCACCGAGGACCGCGGGGAGACGCAGGTACTGGCTCTACACTGACACTACATTCTATAATTACATTCTGAGACCACTTTCGTAAGCTACAACTCATGCAGAATTATCAATCTTACCATCTTACTTACCAATACACACCAACTCACTCACTCACTCACATACACACCAACTCACTCACTCATATACACACAAACTCGCTCACTCACATACACACCAACTCACTCACTCACTAACTCACATACACACCGACTCATCCACTCACATACACACGCATTCACACTACATTGTTACACACCCACAGTAAATACTCAACATATTCATTCACTCATACAATGTTGTCCATTTTCTTTAGTTAAGCAAATACTTTATATTGTTCAATGTCTTACAGTCTGTATTACAGATCACCCAGGCCTGGTGATCTGTAACACAGGTTATACCTTTAGCAGACACCAGTCTCTTAATTGTAACATATTAAATAATTTGTTTTTTTGTTTGTTTTG